CTGTATTCCCAGCACCTACGAAAATGTCCAACACAGAGTAGGTGCTTAATAAATATTTGCTAAATGAATTGTTGGATGGATGAATGGATGGATGGATGGATGGATGGATGGATGGATGGATGGATCCACTGGCTCTTCTCACATGCTCCCTCTTTTTGGATCTCTCTTCTCAGCCACTTTCCCAGATGGTCACCAACCCTGGGAGCCCCCTCACCACTAAATCAATCACCAGGTTGTGTCAATTCCACTTTCTCAATATTTCTCCAAACTCATCACCTCTTCTCCAAAGCAAACCACATGGTCAGATCAGATGGTCAAAGCCTCCAGGGTCCTGCCCAGCATCACCCAGCCAAGGAGAGGTGAGTCTGGAGTTGGGCATCTGAGCATCTAACTCCAGCACAGACAGACTTCAGTCCAGTTGGGGTCCCTCCCACCCCCTCATCCACGGCTGCTCAATTACCCACCCCTTCAGTCCTTATCCTAGTGAAGACCGCTAATTGCCCTTTGGTCCCAAATCTCCTCTCCCAGAGCTTCAGTTGGGTGAGCACCTCCTGGGCTACAGACTACATTTCCCATACTCCTTTGCAGCTAGGTGAGCCATGTGGTTAAGTCTTGGCCTGTGGGCTGTGAGGGGATGCAAAGTGTGCACATCCAGGTGATGCCCTTAAACAGGAAACTTCTTGCCCTCTATTTACTCCTTCCCCCACTGCAGCCTTGGTTATTATGGACCAATTTAGACTTTGTGGATGAAGACGGTATTTTCAGGGATGGTATACAATAGGATAGAAGGAACCTGGGTCCCTGTAAAACCTAGTGGAACAGAGCTGCCTACCTTCTCAGAACTTGTGTTGTAGTTTGGGGTCTTTTCATTATAGTGACTTCATCTGTATGTGTACACGTTTATTCTGTAAGCCAAAGACTTCTTGCCATCCCTCAATATTCATTTATTCTTCTTTCCCTGTAGGAGAACCTCTGGTTTTTACTGGGCATATGGCTGCCTGTTATAAAGACTACATTTCCCAGATGCCCTTGCAGCTAGCTATGGCATGTGACTAAGTTCTGACCAATGGGCTATGAACAGAAATACTGTGTATTAATTACAGGGAGTGTCCTTAAAGAGAAGAAATATGCCTTTCTTCATCCTTTCCTCCTTCCTGCTGCCTGGAATGAGGATATAATGGCTGGCTTCCCAGCATCCATCCGGGACTATGAGGTGACCATGGAAATGGAATTCATTCACAGCTGAGCAACCAAAAGCAAAGGAGTTTGGGCCTTTTATACCAATGAGACACTACACCAGCCCTAGGCTACCTAACTGCAGGCTTTTAAGTGAAAGAGAAATAAATGTCTATTTTGGTTAAGCCACTTATTTTGTCTTTTCTGAATTACAAAGCTGAACCTAATCCTGATATACTCATGTGCATTCGTTCATTCTGAAACAAACCAGCAACACAAAATAATGTAACTGGGTGTGCACGTCTGGGATGGATCCTTCGTTACCCCTCTGCATGGGACCCCGAGAGGCCAGTCTGCCCCAGAAACTCTGGAGGGGCTGGACATAGAGATTAGGAATATGTGAGCTCTACACCCTCATAAGAACAAAGAGCGCTACCAGGCCACCGTGAAGAGTCTTGGGCCCTCACCCCAGGTGTCCCGGAGTGAGGAGCTGCCCCTCTCTAAGCCTCATCCACCTCCTCCCTGTCAGTTAACAGTCCTACCAAGGCCTCCCAGGAAAGATGGGCATGAGGCTCTGAGTCAGAGTGATGCTGGCCCCAGGCCCCAAGGGTGCATGGAAAAATTAGGCAACTGTCTTCTTAGGGCTGATGGCGTCTCTGGCTTCCACCAACCCCAACCGCCACTCACACCAGCTACTTCCAAAAGAGGCTCCTACCCACTGATTTAAAACACCCTCCCAGGGCGCCTGGGTGGCTCAGGTCATGATCCTGGAGTCCCGGGACCGAGTCCCACATCGGGCTCCCTGCTCAGCAGGGAGTCTGCTTCTCCCTCTGACCCTCTTCCCTCTCGTGCTCTCTATCTCTCATTCTCTTTCTCACAAATAAATAATCTTTTAAAAAAATAAAAATAAAAAAAACAAAACACCCTCCCAGCTTCATAAAACATTACCTCCCACCCTCTGCAACATCATTACTATTACATTGGGTTCTGCTTTGCTCTCCCTGTAAAGGCAAGCAGCATGAATCCTTGTGCCTGCAAACAAGAATGAAAAGTGCACCCCAACACAGGCAGAGAATGAAAAACCAACCACCCAGATTGGCCTCATTTTTGCCGAGGGCCAACCCCAGGTTGGGCTCAAACCTAGGCAGCTCAAAGCAAGTGAGTACAATTCAGGAGACCTGTATGAACGGTGTGGCCCATCGGTCAGGGTTCTTCCTGTCCCAAGAGACAGAAATCGTGGGCTGAAGCATAAAGGAGAAGGCACTGGCCTGCATAAATAAACAATCCGTGGGTGCCCCCCAATTCCCTCTGGGAGTCCTGACAGTCTAACTTGACAGCTTGGCTCCTGGCTCCACCCTTGAACCAATCACTGTGGCCAGGGGAGATACAAGCCTCAAACTGGGTCAGGCTGTGGTCACGGGCTCCTCCTCCCGATTCAGAACAGTCACCTTCTTGCAGGACTTGTCAGAGGCTTTATATAAATATGTGGGCAAAGAGAGCATATGGTGTTTCCTAAATTGCTTTGAATCTGAGCTCAACAATCGGGAGATCCGTTATACTGGCCTTGAGCAGTGGCTGCCTCCTTTCGACAGAACAGAAGCTTTCAGTTTGCTCCAATCCCCACCGTTCCCAAGCGTCTAGCTCCTTGCCTACCTCACTGCAGACACTGAAGCTTGATATGTGGCTAGTGATGAGATGGTAAGTCCCAAATGCAAAAATGTGAAGCATTACACACTTGGAGGGAACTCAAATAGCCCTCACTTAATGGCAATATTCCGTCATAAATACATGAGTGTGTGCACTCTCCCACAGGTTGATGCATGCATGCAAGGTCACAGGCACCCAGGTGCACACACAACCACACACAGACCACTTGGGACACAAAGCCTCAGCCTCAGCCCGCACGTCCCCCCACAAGAGGGTCAGACCCTGCTCTGCAGGAACTGGGTCTCGTGTCCTGCCCTGTGCGGGCTCTTGCCAAGGCTGGGGAAGGGGGAGCAGCAGTGGTATGACGCTGGGCCCCCTCCCCACTCCCCTCCTTGTCTGGATTCCCAGGCTTGAGGCTGGAATAAAGGACTAGATGGAAGAGAGGCCTCAGGAGGCAGGGTGCCGGAGTCAGCCTGGCGAGGGGACAGAGGAAACCCACAGGGAGCCCAAGGGGTCCTCCAGCCCAGGGCAGGGGCCCCAGCAGGGGGAGGGGGAGCTGGGCGTGTCCAGGGCAGGTACACACACCTGGCGGCCCAGGCTGCCGAGCTCTCCGCACAGCCGTGGACAAACACAGAGACGCTCCTGCTCCCGGGACTGTCCTCCAGGCTCCCCATTCCCCCCACGGAGCGGCGTGGGAGGGCAGAGGTGGAAAGTGAGGGCCCCTGTGCCCGGTGCGCAGCCTGCGACACCAGACCACGGCATCCGTGCGTGGCATCCATGGCCTCGGCTTCGACCACTCATGTCCTCGCCCTCTCCCTGCGCCTCCACCCTGCCCTTGGCATTCCTGGGGTGTCAACAAGGAAGGGCTACAGTAAGGTCATTGGCGGGTGTTATCTGAATGGGGTCAACAGGCCCCTCGGCTTCTTATCTCCGGCTCGCTGCGACCAGGAGGAGAGCAAACAGCAGCTGACAAGTCTCCCAGGAGTGCGGCCAAGGGCAGCAGCCTGACGGGGAGACAGAGCACCTGGGACTGAGGTGAGCTCTGCCGCTCAACTTCTTTGTGCCTCAGTTTCCCCATTTGCAAAAATGAACGTAGCAGTATCGACCACGTGGGTAATTGCGGGGGGTTAAATGAAATGACTGCTAAGGCCCATCCGCACACAGTAGGTTGCTCAAGACATGAGTACATTCTGGCTCCTCCCCTCCCCTCATGGCTGGGGAGGAGTGTTCAGGAGATAGTAAGAAATATGCCAGGTCCATAGCAAGAATCCACAAACCACCCATCTTACAGATCAGAACACCGAGGCTCTGAAGCAGAGCATTGCTTGCCCAAGGCTAGTGAGGAGGAACAGCGTCGGGCTCGGTTCTGGCTGAGTCCACTGCTGGGGCTCTCTGCGCCCCCTCTGTTCTGCGGAGCTCACACTGTAGGATTCCAAGGTAAGGCTGGGCCGGGTGGCTTCGGGAGGCGCAATGCTGGCAATCAAGGGCGGTGTCCAGGGTCCAAGAGAGAATGGGACAGAGGCAGAGGGAGGTCACTGTGGCTCTCAAATTCTCCTTTTGAGGGAGGGAGGAGCCGCGTGGGAGGGGGATCAGCCTGGGGAAAGGAAAGGAGTTGGGAAGCCACAAGTGGGCGTCTTCCAGCACAGAGGTGTAGCCGGAGGCCCTGAGAAGGGAGGGCACTTGCCCACGCACACACAGCCTGCAGGAGGCAGGAAAGGGGGCCCCAGTGGGAGGCCTCACTACCTACCACCTGCCAGGTGGACCCCACACTCTCTGAGCCTTGTTTCCAGCAGGGCAGTGAGGGTTGGCTAGGGCTCCCCAATGCCAAGATCTTGTGGGCCAGCCATCTCTGGGACCTCAGCACCCCCCAGCTGGGGTGAGGGCCCCCGAGGGGCAGAGCCAAGGGAGGCTGGAGGGGCCGGGGGCGGGGGGGGGGGCCTCCCCTGCCCAGGGCCCCGCTTCCCCATCAGAGACACTTTGCTGCCCCCTGGTGGCTACAAAAGATTCTAATTTCCCCTCCGGTTCCTAAGAGATGCTTCCCACCGGGGAGAGATGCCCAATTCCAGGACCAGCACCCACCCTCCTTGTGACCCACGGGTGTGTCCAGACCAACCTGGAGGTCCTGCTTCCATCCCCAGGGTCCCATCACCACCAACCGGCACACGAAAAGGCTGAGGTCCAAGAAATACAGAGTTATACTGAAAATCACAAAGTTTGAGCCTGGCTGGGCCATGCGGCCACTAGGACCTTGAGTGGGTTCGGTCACCGCCCCGTGCCTCAGTTTCCCCATCTTTAGAACAGGGATGATATAATGGTTTCTGCTTCAGAGTGCCTTTGTGAACATTAAAGAAGGCAATGAGTAGAAAGGTCTTAGCAGAGTTTCTGGCACATACAAAGCACTCGATAAAGCCAGGTGATATTGTCCTTGCCCACTCGGGCCTGAGCAGAGCTGCACAGAATGCCCCCCTCTCCTCCTGGGCAGGTCCCCCAGGTGAGGGAAGCCCTGTCAGGACTTCAGCATGACTGGACTGTCTTAGAGACCCAAGGTTTGAATCCTTGGCTTTATTGCCTAAGCTATGGGATGTAGAGTCTCTTCACTGCGGAGCCAGCCTCGAGGTTGCTGTGTGCCTTCTATGAGCTCACGAAGCCAGAAAGAGGGGACCGGCTGGACTTACAAATTCAACGCAGAGTGTTTATTGGCCAGGGCTGCAGGGCAGCCAAGGGAAGCATTTCAGGAGGGCTTCCTGCAGGAGGCAGCTCGTACAGAAGCAGGGGGCAGCTTCCACCGCCAGCCATGAGCACAGGGAGCAAGCCTCAGCCAGCTACAGGGGTGTCCATCCCAGACAAGGAGCCCTCAGCTCTGACCCAGCCGGGCTTTCAGAGCCTGCAGCCCTCCACCATCGATGCTGTTGCCTCCACACACAATGACCACGACCGAGGCCAGGGAGGGGCGCAGGCGGCCCTCAGCCTGGAGTCTCCCCAGGAGGCCTGAGTAGATGACAGCCAGAGCTGCCCCGCAGGCAGGCTCCACCAACATGCGCTCGTCATCTGCCCAGAGCAGAAGAACAGGGTGGATGAGAAGAGAGAAAGGGAGGAAGAAGCAGTTAGTGCTCAGTAGGCTCTGGGCACTGCAAATCCACGAAGCCAGCCAGCCAGCCAGCTCACAATCCATCATTCGTCTGACCCTCTCTCCATCCATCAATCTGACCATCCATCCCTCCATCCATCCACCTTTCATCCATCTATCCATCCATCCATTCCTCTATCCATCATCTGACTGTCTGTCCATCCATCAGTGTATCCATCAATCAGTGTAACCATCCATCCATCCATGCGTCCATTCATCCATCCATGCATTCATCTATCCATCCCCTATCCATCACTTGACTGTCTCTCTGTCCATCCATCAATGTGTCCATTAATCAATGTGTCCGTCTGTCCATCCATCCATCCACCCATCCATCCATTATCTACCTTTCCACTCACTCATACATTCACCCATTCATTTACCAGATGTTTACTGAGTAGCCACTCCCTGCCAGGCCCTATGCCAGGAAGGTCCTGGGGGCACAGCAGTAAAGAAGACGCACCAGGCCTCACCCTCATGGGGTTTACATCTAGCGCTGGAGATGAGTGAGAACCAGGCAGCTACGACCAGAGGGCCTGGTGCATGGGAGGTCTCCAGCCTCGGTGGGAGGAGGGTGGGAGACTGGAGGAGGCTACCTGAGGAGGCGCCATGATGACTGAGTGGACCCGAGTCACATGAAACTGACAGGGAGTGAACACCCAGAGACCCAGGGCCTTCACAGGTCCCCGAGCCTGCGGAGGGAGGGCAAGGCTCACTCACCCAGGAACTGCTGCACGGCGCTCACAGCCTGGACGTCCTCCACCACCTCAGAGATGATCTCCAGTTCCTGCGTGCACGCCAGGGCCCTCGCAGCCACGGTCTTGGCACCCAGGCTCTTGGCCACGCTGCAGGAGAGGGCAGGCCGGGCAGGGAGTGCCAGGGTGTGGGGCAGAGCCGGTGAATCCTCAGGCCTCTGCCCCTTACCGATCCAGCCCTCCAAGCCCCAGGGCCCCCTCCCGTCCTGCAACGGGCCGGGGCTCAGCGCCGCAGGAGCCTAGCACAGCACGGGCACAGAGGAGGTGCCCCCAGATCGGGTGCCCCTCGAATGACCGACAAATGCGCAACATGCCCTCCAACTCTATAACCGTGATTGTGGTCTTCCGTGCACATACCCCATTTGAGATTTTTTGGGGTAAATTTAAAGTGAAAGCCAAGCAGGGGAATGGATTTGTTTGCATCTTATTCAGTAATAACCACTTCTCATGTCTATATGATAACTAGTATTTATTGACTATCTACCAGGTGACAGATACATGTGTTTTCTGTCATAATCCTTGTAATCTCCCCTTGAGTTAGAAATGTATGAGCTCCATTTTACAAGGGAGGAACCTGAGAGGCTCAGGGAGGTTGAGGAACTAGCTCGAGGACACACAGCTAGTCAGTACGTAGCAGAATGTGGATTCAAATCCAGGCAGTGTGGCTCCAGGATCCATGCTGTTTATCTCTGTGCTTGGAATCACCCACCTGCCGGTACCTTCCTGAGCTGGGCAGCGTTTCAGGCCCGGGAGAGCCTTTGGAGAGCCCATGAGAACTGGCCTGAGTAGCCCAGAGCACAGACTCGGGAGCCAGGCTGCCTGGTTTCAAACCTGGGCCCCGCGCTAGCAGTGGGACCTCGTGAAGGTCACTGCACCACCCACCCCCCCGAGCCTCAGCTTCCTCAGTCTGAGAAATGGAGGTAACGACAGTCCCAGGTTCATGAGATTGTCACGGGGGTGGAGTGTCTAGAAGAGGGCCCGGCACGTAGTAAGTTCTACCGAAGGGTTGGCGGTGGCTGTTAGCATTGCTGTTACTAAGAACAAAGTCAACAACGACAGCAAGAGAGACTCCGACTCAGAACTACAGACAAGCCAGTAGTGGTTGCCAGTGAGGGTCGGGGGAAGGGCGTGGGGCGACACAGGTACAGAGGATGGAGAGGTATGAACTTCCAGTTATAAAATTAATAAGCCACGGGCACAAAAAGTCCAGCACAGGGAATAGTCAATAATACGGTCATCGCTTTGTGTAGTGACAGGTGGTGACTCCACTCGTGGTGGTGAGCACAGCGGAATGTATAGGATTCCCGGATCACTACGCGGCACACCTGAAATGAATATGATATTGCAGGTTGACTATAAGCATCAATTATAAATAAATTAATTCATTAATAAATAAGAACAAAGTCTGGGAGGGGAAACATAGAATTAAGTTGTAAGTAGAGGGAGACCATTGGGAGGGCACCCTACCCGAGGCAGGGTTGCAGGGCCAATCTCTCTGGGGTGAGAGATCCCAGCCGAAAGGAGGGAAGGGGAGGGGGTAGAATGTTCCAGGCAGAGGGAACAGCATGCACAGAGGTTGGTGATAGGAAAGAGTGTGACCTATCCAAGGGGCCGGAAGATAGGCCAGTGGCTGGAGTGGGGCCGAGAGGAGTGTGGATCTGGGCCTGAGAGCCTGGGGAAGGCATTGAGGGGTGTAAGTGGGGGATGAAGAGGCCCGTAGGTCAGCAGCGGAGGAAGGACAGACACCCTGCCCAAAGGTAGGCAAAGGACTCAGCGCAAAGAGGAAACAGCGATACCACCTGCAGGGCTGCAGCCCAGAGAAATGGACACATTCGTCCCCATGCAAATGCCCATACGAGTGTTTGTAGCAGCACGACTCATCATAGCCCAAAACACAAACAGCCCAAACGTCCAGCAACCGAGGGTTGGATAAACAAGATGGGGTCCAGCCACACGATGGAATGGTATTTGGGCCACAAAAAGGAATGGAGTGCGGATGACAACATGGATGAACCCAGAAGACATGAGGCTGAGTGAGAGAAGCCAGACACAAAAGGCCACGTATTGTATGACTTCATCCAAATGAAATGTCCCCAGCAAGCAAGTCCATAGAGACAGGCAGTAGAGCAGTAATCAGCAGGGGCTGGAGGGGAGGAGGGGTTTGGGGAGGGGTGACGAAAATGCTCTAAAAGTGATTTTGGTGATGGAGGCACAACTCTGAATATACTTAAAATCAGTGAACTATACACTCTAAGTGGATGAATTGCATGACACATGAAGTATATCTCAATAAAGCTGTTATCAAAAAGAGCACCAAGCATAGCCAGGGGATGGAGGAAGGCTGTGACAACCATCCAGGGGAGTGCTGATGCCCTGGTGTGGGGACAAGGGTTGGAGAGGAGCTGGAGTCCAGTGGGAGAGTGGACAGAACTCAGCAAGGTGACTGCCAGGTGGGGCCGGTCAGAGCACCGGGATGGACGTCATTTACAAAAATGTCAAGTCCGTGAACTTCACTTAGTGCTGCACTGTGCCAGGCTCTGAGAGAGGTACTCGGGACTCAGAGCTCAATAGCCAGTCCCCATCCTCAAGCCCCTCCTTCCAGTTAGGGGCCCAAGCCAGCCCATCCACAAGCTCTTTCACGGCTGAAGAGTGACACAGAGTGTCTCTGGGGTCTTTACCTATGGGAGGCAACTGCCCAGCTGAGCCTTGGAGGATTTCATCCACATAAGAGGGACTGGTATTTCAAGTGGAAGGGAAAGGAAAGGCTCAGAAGTTAGAGGCACAGATAATTTTCAGGGAAAGGCAGCACAGAGACGCTGGAGGGTGGGTGGCGTCAGAAAAGGAGTGGAGATGGTACCAGAAAGACATTAAGGAGACCCATATGTCCAGATAGAATCCTCCTTGAAGCAAGGACCGTTTCTCTAACTGGCCGGCCAGAATCTTGTACACAATAGGTGCCTAACAGAGATGACTTAATAGGCTGTCCTGATTTCAGCCACCTTGCTGTCATACACCATGATATCCTAAGTTCTAGCACCTAATGGGTGCTTAATAAAATATGGGCAGTACTGGCATCTGTAGGGGGTTGAACAGTGTCTCCCCCCAAAATTCCCTTCCATACAGAACCTCAGAATGTGACCTAATTTGGAAATAGAGTCTTTGCAGATGGAATTAGAAGATAGGGTCATACTGGATTAAGCTGAACCAAAATTCAGTGACTGGTTCCCTTACAAGAGGAGAACAGACACACGGAGGAGAAGGTCATATGAAGACAGAGGCAGAATGAGGTGGCTACAAGCCAAGGAACACCAAGGATTGCCAACAACCACCAGAAGCTGAAGGAGGCAAGGAAGGATGCTCCTCCCCTAGGGCCTTCAGAGGGAGGGTGGCCCTGCTAGTACCTTGATGTCACACTTTTAGCTTCCAGGGCTAAGAAAGAATGCATTTCTGTTCTTTTAAGCCACCTAGTTTGTGGTCATCTTTATGGCAGCCTTAGGAAACTAACAGCATCTGTGAAGATGATAGTGGTGGTGATGGTAAAGGATATAAGACGAGGCAAGGTCTGGAGGCTGGCCACTCTCTAGTAGTTAGTTAGTTGGTTCATAAGAACTTTTCCTCAGTTGAATTAAAATCAGTTACATAAAATAATAAGGAAAAACTTCTCTAATGATATCGCAGAAAAAATGAAACTATGTTCATGATATACAATATGACCTAGAAAAATAGAGTTTAGGAAGGATACGATCCTAACTTAAAAATATACGATCGATCCATTCATTCATTTCACAAACATCTGTTGAGCACCGACTACGTGCCAGGCACATTTCACTTGTATGTAACTATGCATGCATGGGGGAAAAACAAAGACCGGGAAAATGTAACCCATTGTTCATCTCTGGATGGTGAAACTGAAGGTGCCGTTTTGTTTTCTGTTGCTTATTGCTTGCCTACATATTCTCACTTACCTGCAACACACTTAAACTGCTTTTATGATACAGAACAATGAAACTTGTTTTATTAATTAATGAAACTTAAATGAATCATATCCATCTACTTTTTTGGCATTGCCTTCTAACATTATTGTGCTTGGAGTCCTAGGGTGAAGTTGAGTCTCTTGGGTACGCCCTACCTCCACTGGTTGGGACTGAGAGGCCCTAGGACGGCAACACCCCCGCCCTCCAGCCCAGCACAAATGCCCCCAGCCCATGCCTACCTGGTGATGTCCGGCAGCGTGACTAGCCTGCCCGCCTTGACGGCTGCATTGAAACAGTGTGCCCCTTGGGTCTCCACAGCTATGATGGGCACATGCTGCCAGCCCACCTCTGCCAGGCCAGCTGACACCCCCGCCAGGAGCCCTCCACCCCCTACTGCCAGCACCAGGGCCCCCGGTGGGGTCCCCAGTGCTGCCTTCAGCTCTCGCACCAGGCTGGCGTGGCCTTCCCTGGGGGGAAGGAGAAAGCAGGGTGAGAAAGGCCCCCATTCCCAAAGGCTGACATATGCACAAACTCTCCTTATCGCCACTCCAATCGCCATCCACAGCAAGGGGAGCAGAGACCCTGCAACACTTAGCTCGCTCAGCTTTCACCCACTCCATTCACTCATTCTTTCCCTTCCATCAACCTCCCAGCCGTGTTCTCAGACATTATCTCATTTAATCCCCTCCGCAACCTTGAAGAGGCAGCATTAGCATGTGTGCTTAAGAGGGGACCAGCATATCAATTGGCATCCGTCAAGTTCTGGGCCTGGGACCCAATGTCTGGGCCACTTAACTAGCTATGTGATCTCGGGCAAGTTCCTTGACCCCTCTGTGCCTGTGGAATGGACATATGACACCCACCTCTAGGGCTCTGGGGAGGATCAAATGGATTAGATGCATCCTGAAGTACACTCAGTAAGCAGGATTGATTATTGCCATTTCCATTGTACACATGTGGAAACTGAGGCATGCGGAGGAGAGATACTTTGTAGAGTCACACAACTTGCAAGTGACAGAAGCAGGGCCTGAACTCTAATGTGCCTGGCTTCCAAGCCTCTTCTCCTCTCTAGGCCTCAGTTTCCCCTTCTGTCCAATGGAAGGACCCCAACTCAATAAGGGTCTGGGCTCTGAGCTCCACGGGGGAGGGGCAACAACCTTACCAGATCAGGGGGTGGTCAAATGGAGGGACGTTCACCCAACCAGCCCTCGTGGCCAACTCTTGCGCCTTCAGACTGGCCTCGTCCCAGACCTAAAGAGAAACCAAGGGCCTCAGGAGCCCCAGGAGGTGGACCGCTCTGGAGGCTGGAGCAGAGCCTGAGGTCTCCTGCATGGCCCCAGGGTCTGACGGGCTGGGGAGAGCCCCAAGGGTGAGACCAGAGCCGGGGTGTGCCCTGCAGCCTCCTGGGACAAAGGCAGAGGCTTCCGCCTGGATAAATGGATGTCATGTGCTTTCCACGATCCCAACGGTCGGCCTGCAATGCTAGGGGAGGGGGAGCTCCAAGGCCAGCTAAGTGGTTTCCACTTCTGACGAGCCAGTAGGGGAGAAGCCCCCTCAGATCAGAGCCCCAAAGAGCAGCTTGGCCACTACAGATGGTGTCCATGAAAATGAGCGATCGGCCAACGGATGACCTGCCGGTTAAGTTCGAGCAGCCAGAGGTAGCCCGGGTCTCGACAGAGCTGCGCGGACCACATCGGGGCTGGGTGCACTTTTCTCACGGGCTTGACGTCAAATCTGTGGCAGAAGCCCGCATCCCCACGGCCCAGCTCAGAGGTCGCTTGCAGGGTATTTTCTGGCTGGGGGACTTTGCGGGGCAGCGGGCAGGGCAGCCTGCAGTGCCGAGGGGCAGGTGCCCCAAGAGTGGCCCTCTGACCCCTCTCTGTGTGTCTCCTCCACAGGAGCCCCGAGGCTCCCTGTGGGGACTGAACCCCAGTTGCCACAGAAGTGACAAGCCACTGACAGCCACTGTGAGCTTTCTTCTCCTCCCTCACTTCTACCCCCACGTTCTCTGCAAGCACCTCCCAAATAAACCACATGCACCCGAATCCTTGTCTCAGGGTCTGCTTCTGGGGAACCCAAACTAAGACAGGATTTCGGAGGGGCCCCTCCCCACACTGGCCAACTTCAGCAGAAGCTAAGTGGCAATAACAGCCCCCTCTTCCGAGGGGCAGTGGGTGACAAGGGGGCCAGAGGTAGCCTCGCCCATCCTCTGGCCCCCTGCAGCACCCCCTCTTGCCCATGCCATGCTGGGGGACACAGAGAAGACAAAGAAATAGTCTCCGTCCACAAGGAATCTCCCATCTAACCGAAGAGACAAGACTCATTCTCTTGAGTTATTGAAACAAACATGAGATTTAAAACCATGCAGTCCTTGAGGCCACTCACCTGGAGCGGCCCCTCCTCACAGGCTTCCCGCCTCCTGTCCATTGCCCCAGAGCAGCCAGAGTGAGGGCCCAGCGTGTCCCTCCCCTGCTCCAAATCCTGCCGTGGCTCCCCAATGCCCTATGCCAGCCTCACCTATGAGCCGCCCTGCCTGCTGAGGCGGCCGTGCCCCTCTCTGGCCTCACCTGTCACCCCTTCCCCCAGGGGCTGGGCTGCAGGCGAGTGGAATGCACCATGCTCGCTCTCATTCCAGGCCTTTCTAGGCTCTTTCCTCTGCCCACGACCCTTTTCCCAGTGGGAGGACTTGTATTTTCCTTTCAAGATAACACAGAGGGTCCTTCTAGGGGAGCCTTTCCTGGATCATCTCCCCAGGTCTGAGGCACAGCCTGGCAGTAGTCGGGACCACCGCCCAGTTCCCTAGCCCCTCCCTCCATCAGAACCACATGTCCACGCCTCTTGTCATGTGACCGCTGTCCCTCCCTGCCACAGAGGCCGGAGTACATTTCCTCACCTACGCTGATGGGGGCCCCAGCCGTGGGGCTTGCTTTGGCCAATGGCATGTGGCAGAAGTGACAGTGTAACAGTTACGACCACAGCCTTGAGGGGCCCTTTCCCCCCACTCCTCCTGCCATCCACCTGGAAAGGAACACATCCCAGGTGGCCACCGGTCCAGAGGGATGTGGGGCACATGTGCAGACCTTAATCCTGCCTGCAGCCTGACGCAGAGCCACCCTGGCCCTCTCACAAGAGAAATCAGGCTTCTCATAAGCCTCTGATATGTGGGGGCCTGTTTGTTACGCAGCATGATCTAGCAGCAATAGCTGATTAAAACAATATGCTTTCTCTGTTCTTCCTCAGGGCCCCGTGCTTCCCCATCACACTTACCACCGTCTCTTATCACCATCTGGTTATCTGTGGGTCTCCCCAGCAACACCTGAGCTTTGTGAGAGCAGAGACCAGGTCTTACTATCTCTATTTCCCTATCTCTAACATGGTACAGGCACAGAGTATGAGTTCAATGAATATCTGTTGGAAGGAAGGAAGGGAGAAAGAAAGGAAGGGAAGGAGGGAGAAAGGGAATGGGGGGTTGGACGGACGGATGGGTGGATGGATGGACGGACAGATGGACTGACGGATGGATGGATGGATAGATGGATGGATGGGTGGATGGGTGGATGGATGGATGGATGAAGGGTGGATGGATGGATAGATGGACAGATGAATGGGAGAGAGGGAGAGAGAGAGGGTGATGGATGGGAGAACAGGTGAATAGATGAATAAAGAGAAGAAAGAAGGGAGAAAGCAAGGAAGGAAACTGGACACCAAGTATTTGGAGACCAGCTTTCAGATACCATGGTTTTAATTTTAGTTTTAATTTTAATGGTTTAAAAAAAAAAATCTCTTTTTCAGGGAGTTTTTCTTCTCTCCAGGAAGGTAGAAGGATTACATGTTTGCATCTCTGTTTCTTCGGTAACAAGATGAACCAGCGATATCCCTGGTGGTGGACACCTTTCATTACTGGGGTGGTCTCAGAATAAGAAATGATGCCACCCTCATCTTTCTTTATGCTTTTTGTCTCATCAAAGGGCAAACATTTTTAAATAAATAATACCAAGTGTTAGTGAGGATTATAAGGAGACGGACAGACTCCTGGTCCATAAGCTTCCTGTTTCTCCTGGGTTCACACAGGGGAAATTTTCTCAAGGTAGGTAGAGGCAGGAGGTCCCAGGCCTCATATACATCATGCCTCACTCCCAACCCTCAGCTCAGCCATCCTAGGAGAAGACTGAGCTCCAGGCATAGTTCATCAAAAAAAGAAAGAAAACAGCGGGGAGATACCATCTCCTAGGGCTGAGGGGTGGGGGTAAAGGGGAACAGCCCACCCCAGCTGGCTTCTCCTTCCTGGGGTCCTTACCTTTCCGGTCAGCTGAACCTCAGCCCCCTCCCCCTGCAGCCTCCTCACCACCTGCAGGGAGGTGCCCTCTGGGAGCACAATGGTGGCAGGGATGCCCAGCTTCCGAGCGGCATAAGCAGCAGCAATCCCTGCGTTGCCCCCTGTGGAAGCAACAGAAGGGGGTGCAGTGGGCAGTGCTGTCTTAGCCTGTTAACATACTTCCTTCCCTCCCCCTCCATTTCCCTTTGTGGGTCACCCCTTCCTGGCACTCATATGCTCTACCTTTGAGTCCTCTTTCTGGTCCCAGAGGTGGATATGTGATCTAGATTGACTCAGTCAGAGAACTCAGAGAACCCCTAGCCCATGATTGGTTCAGGGATGAGTACATGATCCAAGCTAGGTGAAAAAGACCAATTCATGGATTGAACTGGTCCAGGACACGGGAGGGGAAGATGGAGAACAGCCTCAGCTGGGCTCCTTAGCCTTAACTGGCTACCAAGCTGTGAGAACCATCAAGAAGGGGGTGCTTCCTTTTCACTAGGGCTGATAGGATGATAGGAGGCAAGCCTAGAACTCCTGATGGTCATCTTGCCGCTAGGAAGTCTGTGTGAAAATAAAGCTAGTACAGAGAAAAGGCAAGTCAAGGGAAGAAGAGATACAAAGGAGAGCTCCTGGATCCAGCTGTACCTGAAAGCCATTTATCCCAAGAATTTTCAGTTCTTGGGGCCTGTAGCTTAAACCTGTATGAGTTGGGTTTTTGTCACTTCTACCCTGAGTCCTGAATGACAGGAAGAGGGCTGGGAGAGGACAGGAAGTGGCCATCTGACCATGACCTTGAGGGGGCTGGACCTTGAAGAGGAGCCTGATCCCTGGACAGCTACTGCAGCTCCAGCGAGCTCTTCCTCCCCCCACACAGCCCGGAGGACCCAGCCCCGAGGGTCACCTGAGGAGCACACCAGGTGTCTGCATCCCTTCTTGGCCATCTGGGAAGAGACGGAATGGGGTTAGGGACTGACCTAGGCAGATGTCACAGAGCCTGTGTGGGATGGAGTTAGCCCCTCTTCAGCCCACCCCGACACCCCTCACGCCTCACCCTGCCCACCCATCTCTACAAGTCCACGTCTCCCCTCCTGCCCTCACCCCCAGCCAGCCGGCATCCATCCCCTCCTCCTTCCCGAGCCATCCCACTTCTCCCCTGCCGCCGACACCTCACCTCCTGGCAGAAATGCCCAATGCCCCGGATCTTGAAGGAACCGGCCGGCTGCACATTCTCACACTTGAGGAAGACAGTCGTGCCTGCCACCTGGGAAAGCGCCCAGCTCTCCAGCAGAGGAGTGGCGGCGTGGAAGTGCTCGGCCCTAGCGCAGCCTGTCAGAGAGCTGTCCATTCCAGCAATCACCGGGAGGCCTGCAGGAGAGCATGAAGGCCACAGCCCAGGCAGCTCTGGCAAGAGCCCCCTTCCCCAGGACACGGGAGGGGAAGATGGAGAAGAGCCTCAGCTGGGCTCCTTAGCCTTAACTGGCTACCAAGCTGTGAGACTCCAGGCAAGGATCTGCTCCTCCCCGGGCCTCAGTTTCCCCATCCGGACAAAAAGGTTTGGACTAGGGACCCTTACATTCTGTAACTGTGGCTGCCCACAGGGCTGGGGGTGTAGAACATGGCCAATACTTGGTGATGAATGAATGAGCATGGGAGAATTCATTCATTCTTCATTCATTCATGCATGCAGGCATGCATGCAAAAAAAAAAAATCTTGCAATGAGCACCTACTATGTGCCTGGTGGTTCCAGGGTTTGGGGCGCACAAGTCAGAGGCAGCCCCTGCTCTGCCGGAGCTCACATTCTAGTTGGGGAGACAGAATCACACAATTTCAAACAGGGGCGATGGGGGCGGGAGGCAGTGTTTCAGCAAGCACGGTCAGAAACGGTCTCTCAAGAGAGAAAATCTTTTGAAAAATTTGTATTATGGAGAATTTAAACATAGCAAAATATCGAGAACTGGATAAGGAACCTCTGGTGTAGCCCATCACTCAGCTCACACAAGCACTCCTGGCCTGCCTTGTTCCATCCATGCCTGCGCCCACCCCCCTCCCTGGACTATGGTTTTTTTCCCTCCTTTATTCTTCTTATTATATTTTCTTCCTATACTACTTTATCTGTAAATACTTCGGCACGGATCTCTAAAAGCAAAGAACTCTTTTTAAACAATATAGCCACATGGTTTCACAACTGTATACATTTGTGCAAACTCACTGAATTCTTACTCAAAGTGGACTAATTTTTTTTTGAGAGAGAGAGAGCGAGCAGGGGGAGGGACTGAGGAAGAGGGAGAGAAAGACAGAGAGAGAAAATATCTTCAGCAAGTCCCATGCCCAGCACGGAGCCCAACGGGGGCCTCAGTCTCACAACCCTGAGATCATGACCTGAGCCGAAATCAAGAATGAGATGCTTAACGGACTGAGCCACCCAGGCGCCCCGGGCTAATTTCACTTTATGGACATCATATTTCAAAGATGCTAATTTTTTAAAAAACGTCACCACAATACCATTATCACACCTAAAAATATTAACAATCATCTCTCAATATCATCAAATATCTGGTAATTGCTCACCTTTCCAATTGTCTCATTAAATGGGATAAATGGTTGGCTTTGCGGTCAGTGATTTGGGGTCTCTAACACTTTGAATCAGGATGCAAATCAGATCTGTGAGTATCAAGTTGGCTGAGAGGGCTTTGAATTCTCTTTCCATCTGCAAGTTCTCCAAGGGGAATGTTCAAGATGAGTGACAGCAGGGAGCCCAGGGAAAAGCATTCCTGCAGAGGGGACAGCAGGCGGAAGCACCTTGAGGGAGAAACGAACTTGCGGTGTTGCCGGTGTGGGAAGAAGGGATTGGGCGCAGGAGGCGAGCAAGGAGAGGTGTGCAGGGACTTGGGGAACCTTCCAGCCCCTGGTCAGGAGCTGGGATGTTATTCTAATTCTACTTGCAGTGGGAAGCCGTCTGGAGGTTTTAAGCAAAGGCACAGTTAGTGAATGACCCCGTGGGAAAAGACGAGAAACAAAAAGGGAGGAAATGAGAAGAGGGGGGAATAGAGGGTTGTTTTTTTTTTTTTTAAGGAGCAAATGCAACCCCTCTTTTTTTCTCTGGGGCAGAAAAGCATTGGGCCAAGCCCTGCAGTTCCACTGCCGGCCAGTAGGAGGAGCGCTGCAGACTCCCCCCAACTCCAGGGTCCAAGCTCCTTGTTCACGCTTAATTAGGGCTGTGCCCCCTGCCCCACCAGAGGGCTCGAGGTCTCCCGTCTCTGCATCTGACCCAGGGGCCCTTGTTGGGATGGCCCTGGGATTCCCCAGGCAGGGCAGAGTCTGAGCCACCTCCACCCAGTTCCATCAGGGCACTGGGCATGGCACTGAGGGAGAGGGACCTATGGGTCACCCAAAGTCAGCATACCTCAGCCTGGGCCTCACCTCGGCTCTGGGCTTAGGGGTCAGTCAGGGACCAAAGTTATAAACCAGCTCAGTATTCCTAGCTGTGTGACCCAAACAAGTGCCTCAACTTCTCTGTGTCATGTTCCCTTCTGCCCTACTCTATGTCAGACATCAGCCAGTCATCTAGAGGCATCATCTCTCTGGGGCCTTCTAACCATGCGGGCATGCTTACCCTTTCTCTCACATGTCTATAGGGCACCTGCGAGGTGTAGGCCCTGACCTAGGAACTGCGGATACCACGGTGAGCAAGACAGACATCTCCTCTTGGAGCTGATGGGGAGATCAGCATTCAACAAATAACTGTATAGACAAACAAAATAATCAAAAATGGTGAAAACTCCTAAGGAAAACATACATACAGGGAGTCTTAAAGAGAAAAACAGGGACACCTATTGTGAATAGAAAAGTCAGGAAAGGCCTTTTGCAGGAAATGACCATTAAAACTGAGACCTGAAAAATGAGAATGAACTAACCACACAACAAACTGGGAGAAGAGCTTATGCATCACAGAATCACTGTGTGGGTGCAGTGAGGCCATATAGTGAAGGCATCGACTCCATGCCTGACACATAATAATAGCTAATAGTTGTGTAGGACCTACTACCAGCCAAGCACGGTGCCAAGAACCTCATAGACCATCTCGTATAATCATTACAACAACCTGGAGATAGGTTTGCTTATTAGTTCCATTTTCTAGATAATGAAGCTGAGGCCCAGAGAGGTTAAGGAACCTGTCCAAGGTCACACAGCTGGAAATGGCACGGCCAGGATTCAAACTCAGTGCATTTTGGCATCTGTGCTCTTAACACCATGCCATACTGTCTCTACTAGGTGGTAATGATGGTGGTGGTGGTGGTGGTGGGTAAAGGTGTGAGCATTTCCTACTTAATTGCCAGTTGTCCTTGGGAGCCCAATGCCCCTGGCTCAGCCCCCAGGCTCCCCCAGCCCTCTTGGTTATACTAACAGCCCACAGGAGAACAGCAGGCTTGTCAAATGAACAAGCCCCAAAACTTCCAACAGCCTTATCAAGCCCAGATGCCCGTAAGGCAAGGGCGGCAAAGCTGGACTAAGGTCTAGAGCTAAGGAGGGACCGCGGCCTAGGGACACATGGCTCTCGAAGCATGTGGCCACCACTGGGGCTGAGCTGGGAGCCCTGGGCCCTCTCTGCTGTGGAGCAGTACAGTGGGAAGCCTGGAGCTTGGGTTCAGGTCCCAGGAAGCATGACCCTGGCCACGTCACCTTTCCTCACACAGCCTCACCTGCTGCCTCTATGAACTGGGCCCAAGTAAGGACCATCTACTGTTTCTGCCTTCTTTGTCCCTCAGGCTTCTCCAGAGGCCACCTGGGGGACACTCCCAGCCAAACCCCTGATGCCAGGGCTGGGAAACCTTGGCTGGCAAATTGCCCAGTCCTGCCCCTCTGGCAGGCGGGAGCTGCTCCCCAGCCATCACGAGTCCGTGGCACCCAGCCTTCTCCAAGGCAGGATACACCAACAGAGCACCCTGAGTTAAATCAGTGTTCCTGGGAGGGTCTCGCACCCATACCTTCTCACTTTCTGTCCACTCATCCTGGACCTTGCCCAGGAACCTTCCGGACGACCCTCCACTCCCATTCACACACGCACACAGAGCCCCAGAAGCACTCTTTGGGCCCCAGGCCCTCTTACCCGCCTGCCCAGCAGTCCCCCGACCCAGCTTGGCTCCAGCTCGCTGCCCACCAGCCCGCCTCGGCACCCCTCTTCCCGGCTTCCCGCAACTTCCTGTGGCCTCGGCCCCGCCTCCCACGTTAAAGGGCCAGCTCCCCGCGAGAGGAAGAAAGGGGACCAGATCAACTTTCACGGCCTCCCTGTGCGCTGTCCATGGTCCCATTTGACAGATGACGATGCAGGCTCAGAGAGGGAGACTCACTTGGCCAAGGCCACCCAGCCAGCGAGAGACACCCCGGACGACCTCTTCTGTGACACAGACATGTCCAGATCTTCTTACAACGAGCCCAGGGCTTGCCCTGAGTGCCAAGCCACGACCCCTGACCACTGTCAGGGTCATCTTCTCACAAAGATGAGAAGGCATCATTTTTTCTGAAGCACCTCCACACCTCTAATATTTTACACCCAACAAAGGAAACCAAACAGTTATTTATTGTTCAAAGGAACGTCTTTGACCATTCATTCGTTCAACAAATATTTACTGAACACCTACTATGTGTCAAGCCCTGGGACTTCAGTCTCCAACAATACAGCATGTCCCCTGCTCTCATGAACTCCCAAGGGGCCACCAGAGAGCAGTTGCAATCAGTGTTCTCAGATGTGGTCAGGCAGAGGTGGGGCAGGGCTGTGGACAGCCGGAGCGGGTACCTTACCTGCCCCCAGGAAGCTGGGAAAGCTTCTTGGAGGAAAGCAGGTTTGGTGCTGAAGATGTAGGCAAGGACCAGGGTCCACAGGGATGCCTGTGCCCTTCCAGAGTCTGGACCTTACCCAGGAAGGCTAGGGAACCATAGAAGGCTGTAGGCAGAGGAATAACATGATCAGACTTACATCGTCACCACCTCACTGGGTGAAACTGAGCTAGTCACAACCATCTCTGAGCCTCAGTTTCTCTATATACAAAATGGGAGGCGAGCTCCAGGAAGGACCTGGCAGCCGAGATATTCTTTGCCCTTCTAGGACTATGTGTGACCTCCCCAGACTTGATGATTAATTCCTGACTGCTTGGGGTCACATCGAGCTGCTTGGCCATGATCCTTGATGAGGACTCTGGCAGCTTCATAGCCATCCTCCCGTTAAACCTGTACTCATCCTTGTCAGGTGTCCTGTCCTGGACTGGACCCTGGGGACAGACAGGTGGCAAAACCCAGTCCGTACCTCGAGGTGGCCCCTGGACTAGAGGGCAGAGAAAGCCATCCAATTCAGTGACAGTTTTACCACCCCCAGGAAGACAGGGAACAGAAG